TTAGTTTTTATTGTTGTTGATGACGATGTGTTGATGCTGATGTTATTGCTTACTTACCTGTTTTCCTGTATTGGAAGTGTAGTATTGAATTCTCCAATCATCATTGTTGAATTCCCTAATTCTCTTTGCTTTTGTAGAATACTTTTCCTGTACAAAATAAAAAAGTCTTGACTGACTTCTTTCTTCACCCTAATACTGAGGCTATGTCATGTAATTGCATTCTGGACTCCATTGCTCTGGCAAGGAGGAAGCTGTTAACTTCACTGGGGTTTTGGGGCTCTTTTGGACGTGATTAATTTTTTTTTTTTTACTTCTATGAAGATATTTTGTGAAGCAGCAATTTGATTGTGTTATGTCTAGGTGTAGATATATTTATATTTTTAACATTTAGAGTTTGTTGGGTGTCCTTTTCACTATATCATCTTGTTATATTTCTGGCTATTTTACTGATCTATTACTTGCCACTAATTTGTGTTTTTTTTTCCAATAATTTGTGCTTCGACCTGGGAATACTTGTGATGATGGCCTTCTCAGTGCTTCCTGTTGTTTTGGTTTTTGGGGGAGAGGGGGAGTTCCAGGGGTCAAACTCAGGTCCCTGCGCTTGTGAAGCAGGCAGCAGAATCACTGAGCTAAATACCCAGCCCTATTGCTATTGTTTTCAATAGTGCCCTTGATCATAAGGTTTTTCAGTACTTTGCTCCATATATAGTCAATCCCCATCCATAGAAAACCTGCTCTTGCTTTGCCTCATACTGGTAAAAATAAAACAACAAATAACAATAACAAAACATGTAAAGGAACAATCTATAGTAAATCTTAGTGTACACCATTGTGCTGACCAAGTTACTTTTCTTGCAAAAACACTTCTGAAGTGGTTTTATCTCTTTGGCGTAGACAGAATTTTGAAGGGGTTTTCATGGCAATTTTATTCATTTTATAGTTCTTGTCGGAGAGAAAATTTTTGAGACTTTTGTTAAAAATTCTAGATGCCCTACTCTAGACCACAGAATTTTGAATAAAATTTAAACAATTCAGAAGTCTAAGAGATAAAGCATCATAAAAAATTTTGTTGAAGTAGACATACATAAATCTTAGTCCAAATTTGAAGTTCATTTTTCCCTTCAGAAAGTCTCAGTAGGGGAAAATATTCTGAAGGAATCAGTGTAACAATTTAGTTTATCTTGGGCTGTATTGTTAGTAACTTGTCTCACTGAACATGAAGAATATTGAGGTGTATCACTGATTATTCTTTTGAGCTAGAAAATTTGCCTGTGAAATGGAAATAATGTAATCATTCCACACTTTCACAGAGAAACATGAGAAGACAATATTGGAACTAATTCCAAAGAAAAATAGGATAAATGTATCACTAGGATTAAGACTCTCAGGTTCCATGTTAAAAATCCAGCAGCATACATGTGAAAGGGACACAGCTGACTAGAGGAAAGAAAAGAAAAACAGCTGAAAGCTAGATTGGCACTTTCAGTTTTACCTTGTACTGGCAGGTGGACCTAGTCTGGCTTCACATAGTGCCTGATGTTATTTGATAAAATGTTACAGCTTCACAGGCTGTCTAGCATTAGAGGGTCTCTTTGTCACATAGTATAGCAATACAGTTCTGTTGTCGTATTCCAAAATAGATTTTTTAAAAATTCCTAGATATACTCCTCTGCTAGTATTACTGACTCTAGTAGTTCACGACCATAGGTTAGCTTTGCTGTAGTCTTCCAATTTCACAGATGAGTTATTAAGATACAATCATAGAATATTTCCTGTAGGAATTAATTTAATCAGCTAAGAATAGCTTCTTGAACTCTTTCCTAAATAGCCATTAATAAAACCAAATTCTCTAACATACTCTTACTGAGACACTTGAAGTTTCCTAATGTTATTTGTTCTCTCCATTGCAACATGCTGTTAAATCCAACTTTGTTCAACTGTTGGCAAGTTCCTCGCATCACTGGCTGACAAGTGTAGATACTTGAAATGGGAAGATAGTTGGACTGAGAAGACATACCAGTTAAATATTAATATTATGATTTCAGTGTCAAAACATTTTAACTTGTGAAAGCACTAATTTTTTAATATATAAGAATAACAAAGTATAAAATCTGTACTACGTATTTAAATCTTGCAAATGTGTAGGTCCCCCAAAATGGCATAAGTTTTAAAAATATAGCCTGGAAAACTCTTGCTTGATTAGTAATTAGCAGACTTTCTGGTGCAGGCCACTGTAGGGATTCAGGGTCAGAAGATCGCTGAAAAATGTACTCAGCAGTGCTGTCGTACAATGAAAACAGTTTCAGACACTGTGCATACGAACGGGCATAACCTTGGTCAAGAAAATTTTACTTCCAGAGACTGAAGTTGGAATTTTCATGTAATTTTCTTGTGGCATAAAAATTATTTGAATAGTTTTCAACAGTTGAAAATATGAAAACCAGATGGAGGAACCTGCCCCTGTGTGGCATTTGCCCTGAGCCAGTTTTGCGTCTATGGATTTCACACCCTAACAGTGGCCATCCCCCAAATCTAAGCCCACTCTGTGTTGTTTCCATTCAGAATCCAGCAACAGAGGCATCAACCAAGTGACCAAACAGAGTGGACAAAAGACAAGGCCAATGGCTCAGGAGAGAATGTAAATGTAGAGTTGGCACTGCTACAGAGGAAAGATGGACCTGGCCAACAGCACTATTCCCAAGAAAAGCCCATGGGTTTTGTAAACTACAAAAACAATGTTGTGTTTTACTCTGAAAGTGATTCCTTCATGGCAAACCAAAATTGAAGAAACCCAGTGCAGTGCCTGCCATATTGCGAGTGAGTGTTTAATTCGGCTCCATTTTGGGTTAAGATGGAGCCATAGAATAACTCCACTTCAGGGCTTCCAGTGTTGTCTCCCACAGTGATTGGGTGAGAGACAGCCAGAGAAGCAAGTACAGAGAGGGTCTGGGCCAGAAACAGACCCCTGAGGAGTTTAAATTCTGGTCAGGAATGACATGGACCTTGCCCCTCATGGAGAGAAACTAAGTCCAGAAAATGTGGTTTGCAGAGGAGGATGGATCTGAAAGTGTTGGCACTAAATCCAATAGTCTGCTTGACCTTCTGCCCCACAGTTTACAATGAACAGAGACCAGAGGGCTGATTTTTTTCCATCTTGTAGTATGAGCAAAGGCATGCTCTGACTTGAACATTTGCCACAGTCTAGGGTGTGCGGACATAGATGACCCACCTGACAATCTGATATGCTGTAAAGCTAGGCAGAGACCACTGTGACTTGCTATATTCAGACTGCAAACCTTGGGAAGAAATCACTCACTCAAAAATATAACTTTTTTTTAATAGGCTAAATTTTAATCTTTTTTTTTCTTTTCACCCTTTGACTTTTTCCCCTTCTTGTTTGCCTTTATTTTGCTCTGTGTTTTTTTCTTTTCTTTTTCACCTATGTTCTTTTATACTAACTGTTATCTAATATGATCAATTTCCTTTTACTCCTCAATATGATGTCCATTCTCGTTTTTCTCTCCTCCTCATCTTCCATTGATTAATATTTCATATTTCACTTTCTCATTCTCCCATTCACCACCCCCATGTCTTGTATAACCTATACTTTATGAATATCCAGATAGGTTGTTACCTCTGTGCTATTGCTATTCAATGCAGTTCTATCATTAGTGTTGTTCCACTTAGTAAATATTTACTGTAGATCAATATTTACTTTGTTTTGGTGTTCATTCTATAATTATAGACCTCTTTTCTATGCTTAAGAGTGGTACAATATTGATTTTCAGGGCATAAAATATCCAGTTGGTCTTTGATGTTATTACTGTTGCTCATTTTATTATTATAGTAAAAGTGACACAGTTATTGATACCAGATGGTTTTGTCTGTGTGACAATATCTGGATTGCCTCGGTGTCATTAACAATATGATGGCTCATTCCCAGAGAACTGGGTGCTGAGTCAAATACACTGCATACCCTCCCTCCAATAATGAAGGCAGTAGTATTCTGGGACATAGGCAAAGAGTGCCCAGAATGCATCGCTGAAGTGCAGATACAAACTAAAAAGGTCTATATATTCATAACAGAGTCTGTTACTGTAATCAACCCCCAACTCTCTGTACAACAAACAAAAAGTAGAAACATGAGAAGACAAAGCAATCAAATGCTTTCACAAGCTCCCAACACTCTCAAAGCTGATCCATAGGCATTGAGGGAGCGAAAAATCAAAAGCCACATAGCTAGTTAGTCAAATGGATAACAGTAGATTAAAAAAACAGCAGATCAATAAGGTGTTTGGTGAGTTCAAAGATGATATAACTAAATAGTGGGCCTAGTGAACAAAATATTCAGTGAATCTAGAGGAGACACTAACAAGAAGCTAGCTGAGATAAAATGATACAAATTATGAATATTCAATGTAAAAAGAATTGGAGTCCTTGAAAATGTACCAACAGCAATTCAGTAGATTAAAAATTCTATTGAAAGCATAGACAGCAGAAATGACCAATGTGAGGACAGAGTATCGAACTAGAACACAGGGTTATTGTTGGTGAACAAATAATTGAGAGACATCTTTAAAAAAAACAACAAGAGAACATGAACAGTGGATCCAAAAGCTGCTGAATGATACAAAGAAGACTAAGATTGAGGGAAATGGAGAAAAATCAGCATATTGCACAAATGATTTAAAAACAGGTACACAGAAGTAACAGAAAGCTTTTCAAATATGAAAAATATTAACATACTGTGATGATTAACAGATTGTGTCTTGAGTTAGAAATGCACAACTGAGCTGCATCAGCATTACTCTGGGTGTGGCCGAAGGTATCCACTAAAGACAGGTGGTCCACCCTGGGTGTGAGTGACAGCAACCAATAAATAAGCTTGCCACCTGAATGAAATAAACAGACAACAAAAAAGAAAGGCTTGTTTCTACCTCTTCAGAGGAGCTCCTGTCTTCACTTTCACCTTGGAAATCATCTCTTGGCTTTGATTTCAGACTTCAGCCTTCCTGCACGGACCTTCAGCTTCCACCACAAACTCTTGTTCCCTGATATGGACTTGCACAGGACACTACAGTGAGCTCCAAACCTTCACTGGATCCTTAGGATCTCAGGCAAGCACGGACAGCCCTTTTGCACTTCCCACACCTGACTCTGGCCATGGTAAGCCATTCTAGTAAATTCTTATATATTTCTATATCTTGTATTACATCTGTTTCTCTAGTAAGCAGTGATTAATGCATATTTTGGTACGGGGAGTGGCTTTAGATAAATAGAATTGTAAAGCAGAAATTCTTTAATGTCTGTAGTAATTCCTAGAGTTGGCTTTCTAATTTTCTGAGACCTAAAGATACAATGGTTTCTCTTAATATTGTGGGAAATACTGATAGTCCTTGGTGTAAACTGTTTAAAGTATTATGCTTTATAGATCCTAATCACCACTCATGAGATACTAAGAATTTAGTGACTCTATATATGATAATTTTGAATATTTTTTGGCAGAGTAGGTAATGTAATGATGCTGGTTGTTTGCTCTTTGCGTCTCTGGACAAACCAGTGAAGGAAAACACTGAGCTCAAAACACACATGAGAGGGTGAAGGGAGGGCAGGGATGAGGGGGAAATGAGAACCAATTAATATTGTGGGAAATACTGATAGTCCTTGGTGTAAACTGTTTAAAGTATTATGCTTTATAGATCCTAATCACCACTCATGAGATACTAAGAATTTAGTGACTCTATATATGATAATTTTGAATATTTTTTGGCAGAGTAGGTAATGTAATGATGCTGGTTGTTTGCTCTTTGCGTCTCTGGACAAACCAGTGAAGGAAAACACTGAGCTCAAAACACACATGAGAGGGTGAAGGGAGGGCAGGGATGAGGGGGAAAAATGAGAACCAAGACCTGTCATGTAAAGGTACAAGATCCCAATAATGAATGTGACTGTACTGTATACCTAAAATGTACCAATAAACTCAGTGAGAAAAATAAAACACCCCTGAGAAATCTAAAGTCTTCTAATTGTGAGCACAAATTAATAAAGGAAAAATGAGGAGCTCAACGTTTCAAATTCCTAGGTCCAGACACAAATAAAACATTTAAGTTTCTAAGTCTGTCCTGAAAGAAAATCTCATCTACTTTAGCCACTGGGGCAAGATTGCAATAATCCAAACACAACTCTCATAATTTGATTGCCTCAAGTACATAGTAAGTTCAGTGTTCAGCCTCAAAGGGTTTCTGAGGCAGAGGTGTGGGTGCTGATTGGAAAAGAATGAGATCTTGCACAGTGAGATGGAGATGTTCGGGAGGACCCTGACAAGGCTGAGGACGTTGAACTTCTAGACTCTAATGAGATTATTTTGCTAAAGGATAGGATTTCCCCACCCACAGTAGGGGAGGCACCCTCATTTCCCCTCCCTGTGGTGTTGGTCTGTCCTAGAATATCAGAGGAAACGCATTCTGCGTTGGCCAAGCACGGTGATGCCGACACGACTCGGGATGCACCCTCACCACTCACTGTTGCCTCTAGACCATAACCACGATCAAATTGCAGAAAGCTTCTCACGGCGAGGTTCATAGTATGAGGAGGTCTGCTATTCTCTTTAAAAAAATCCAAACTTCTTGAGTTTTCTAACTCTTACGAGAAGAGAAGAAGCCCGAAGAGCACATATGGGAATGGATTTCATGAGTACAGAATGATGGTGGCAAGAACATGCACTTAGACCAGAGTTGGTTGCTATAGGCCCATTAGGCAGAGTCTGAATTTAATGTTTCAGACTGTGAAGTAACAAGCAGGTGTCAATGGTTTGTTTGGATAGTGGGTAGAAATATGGGTCAAAAGATGGCCCGCTGTGACTGAGTGAAAGATGATGTAGTGCTGATGAGGGGATTCAGAGGCTTAGGAAATAGAAATGCTGGAGTGAATTTGTTACGTTATACCTAATCCTCTCCGCGGGTATGAGGCAGAAAATGAACCCTTTAATAATACTTTGAGAAGAAGATCTGTGAGGGGAGCACTGGCACCCCTGAACAGCCCTGTCATTGCTCTTCTCTGTGTGCCAGACCTTAGAGTGAGGACTATGGTCAGTCAACTGGGAAACTTAAGGGAAATAGGTGTAATTGGATCCAGGAGTGGCACGGGCCAAATGGAAGCATTTAGTCACTTTTGTTTCTCACAAGGCATCATGCTGGCCCATGACAGGGCCCATACGCTGACTGCACCAAATGAGCAAAAGGGGGCAGCCGCCCTGGATGGTTAGTAAGGCGTCTGTGAACCTGAGAATGGAGATACCGATCCAATTAAATGTCAAGGTCCTTCTCTCTCAGTGAAATTTCTGGGAGATCAGTGGTGTGAAGCTTGTAGAGATATCCCTTCTAAGGTAAAAGATAAATTGTTTCATCTGGCTCTCCCTATAACCACAACAGCGGCACAATGCCTAGTGGGCCTATTTGGATTTTGGAGGCAACACATTTTTCACTTTAGTGTTTTACTCTAGGCCATTTTCCAAATGACTCAGAAAGCTGACAGTTCTGAATGGGGCCCATAACAAAAGAAGGCTCCCAGCTGCTGTTCAGGCTGCTCTGCCTCTGAGACCATATGATCCAGCAGATCCAATGGCACGTGAAGTAGGCCTGCTGTCTGGAGTCTCTGGCATGCTCCCTTAGATGAATCACAATGGAGGCCTTTAGGATTTTAGGGCAAGTTTCTGCCATCATCTATAGCCAACTCCTCTCCCTTCAAAAAATAGCTCTTGGCCAGCTACTGGGCCTGGTGGAAGCGTAACCCTTGACCATGGGGCCCCCAACTACCATGAAACCTAAGTTGCCTATCATGAACTGGGTATATCTGATCCACTGGCATGAAGTTGGATGTGCACAGCAACAGTTCATCTCTAAATGAACAATGTTATGTGATTGAGCCAGAGCAGGTCTAGAAGTCACAAGTAAATTTTATAAAGAAATTGTCCAGATGCCTGTGGCTTCTACTCCTGCTATATTGCCTCTGCTTCCCAGAATGCACCTGTGGCCTTGTGCAGTGTACCATGTGAGCAGCTGTCAGAGGAAAAGAAGGGTAGGGCCTGGTTTACAGATGGCTCTACATGTTATGCAGGCACCACCTTGGCAAGTGAACAGCTACAGCATTATGGCCTTGTCCAGGACATCCCTGAAGGAGAGTGGAGAAGACAGATATTCAGAGTGGGAACTTTGGCTATGTGCCTGGTAGTAAATTTTGCCTGGAAAGAAAAATGGCCAGATGTGTGATGTGTGACCCATACTGGTTCATGAGTGATAGCCAGTGGGCTAGCTAGATGGTCAGGAACTTACAAGGAATATAACTGGAAAATTGGTGATAAAGATATTTGGGAAAGAGGTACATGGATAGACCTCTCCATAAAGTCAAGGATAGTAAAAATATTTGTATCCCATGTAAATGCACAACAAAAAATGACTTCTGCAGAAGACTTTAACAATCAAATGGATTGCCCAATGAGCAACAATACACCAAAATAAAAATAAAAATGAATAAAAAATATGTATTAAACAAGACACTCCTTTCTGGAAGATAAAATAGGTAAAACTTTTGAAGACACAGAGGTATGAAAAGACTTTCTGGACACAACTGCCATTGGCATAAGAACTAGCATCAAAAATCATGAGGTAAAATTAAAAATCTGCCTAGCAAAGGAAACAGCCATCACACTGAAGAGTCCACCTAAAAAGTAGGAAAAATATTTGCTAGATACTTCTCTGATGAGAGAGTAATACATAACTAGAATCTGCAAAGAATTTTTAAAAATCGGATTCCCCCAAATTAAAGACTTGATCAAAATATGGGTAACTAAAATAAATAGAGATTTCTCAGAAGTGCAAATGGGCAATAAATACACGAGGAAATGCTTAACATCTCTGATCGTTAGATAAATGTAAATAACAAAAAGAGTAAGATGATGACTTATTCCATAAAGAATGGCTATCATCATGAAATCAAATAATATAAAATGCTGGTGAGGCTGTAGAAAAAAGGAGCCTTTTTATGTTGTTGGTAGGAGTATAAACTGGTACAGCCTCTATCAAAATCAGCATGAGAAGTCCTCAAAAAACTAAAGCTAGAAGTTTTATTTGACCAACTTATTCCTCTTCTGGCTATCCTTCTGAAAGATTTAAATACATCATGCCACAGTGATACATGCATATCCATGTTTATAGCAGCACATCTCAGAACTGCAAAAATCTTTGAAATGGCCTATGTGTCCCTTAACACATGAATGCATAAAGAAAGTGTGGTATTTGTATATAATAACAGAGTACTACTCTGACATAAAGATGAGTCATGTGTAGGAGAGTGGATGCACTTTGGGACCATAATGTTAAATAAAATAAAGCAGACATATAAATATCACATGATTTGTCTTATATGTGAAACCTAAATAATAAATATGGAGAAAAATAAAAGATAATAGGAAGTAGAGAGAGAGGTTTTTTTTCTCCAAATGGAATGGGAATCAAAGATGGAGAGAGGGGAGAGCAAAAGTAAGGGTAGAGGCTAAAAATAGAATTGAAATGTGTTACGTACACCTATCACCAACCTACAATCAATGTGTAACATGAACGGGTACTAATGAATAATAAAAATGAAAAAACTCCACAAAAGTACAAGCAAAAATATGAAAAACATTTTTAGTTCATAAATTTCACAAAAAATAGTCGATAGGCTAGATTTACACTGTGTATCTTGTTTGTAACCTCTTCAGATAATTATACGGCTCATTTTCTCACATTTCCTGAAATACCACTGTCTCAGTGATGGCCTTCCATAATTGTCTTTTAATAATAGCACTTTCCCATTTGTTTTGTGTTCTTCTATAACATTTATCATAATGGAATGCACTGTATATATTATTCATTTGTTTGACAGCCCTTACTACAATGTATGCATTCTGAAAGTTAGTATTTTGGTTTTACCAATTTAGCCCTAGTACTTACAAAAGTGTCTATTATACTGTGTGCATTTAATAAATATATGCACAGCAAATACATCAGAACCCCAACAGGAGAAATAGCAGAGCATATATGTCAATAGTCGCTTGGGGAAAGTGCTGGTGACATTTCCATATCTCCTATTCAGGAATACATATAGACATGGCTTTAACTAACAATCACAAGGATACTTGGGGAAAAATCTGGGGGAAGCAACGTCCAAACAAATATCATGTTGGAGTCCATCTCCGGTTTCAGCTTTATGAAAATTCTCATTAAGATCACTAAATTTTTCCCACATTAGATAGTTATATAGTATGGTATAAAATCTGTTGTATTAGGAAGTATCTGTTCCGTTCTGCTAATGAATTATCATTGCTAAGAAAGAACCAAGAAAAGTGGGGTGGGAATTTGGGTATATCCATAATCCTGGAGTCTTGCACTGAGTTTGTGCGTGTGTAGGTATATAAACACAGGAATAGATAGGTGTCTATACAGATTGCTGAACTATATACAATGGTACCTCGGTTCACAATCTTCATTTGTTTTATGATTTGGGAGAAGATTGTGTTTGTATTTGTGTGAGGCAGGCAGGTGGCCACAGTGTTTGCCACCTGATGTAGAGTTCGTGAACAGAAGCAAAATTTTGCTGAATGCTTTTGTTTGTGAACTGAATTGTTTGCAAACAGAAGCATTTGTAAACTGAAGAATTATTGTATTGACTTCCTGAAATTACTGTCCTTGGCAGTAGTAAAGTATTAACAGAATTGGAAAGATATTTTGAGATGTTATAAACTTTATATCAAAATATAACTCAATTATAAAATAGAAAATATATATTCAAAATAATTTTAAAATGATCAATTGGTATGATTGTGCAACTGAAACTGTACATCCAGAAAAATAGAAGTCAAATAGACTTTTGAAAACTTGGAAGGAAATGAATCTCATTTATAGCATGCTTTTGATGAGAATAAATTTCAAGTATTAGACTATTTCTGTGCGAGGGACTATTTAAAATATTGCCCTTTCGTAAAATGAAGCCTGCCTGCCTGTGGTCTTCCTTTTCAGAGAACAAGATTTGGCCGCAAGAAACATTTTCACTGTTCTTTGAGCTGAGTGTAGTTATTAAGCCAAGTTACTTATAAAGGAGAGGAAAAGAAATTGAGTTTGAAGGTGGCGAACAGAACATTACCTGGGCACATTACAGACTCAGGACTGTAATGAATTAGAAGATTCTGCCATTATATTTTCTTTTCTCCTTCCTTCCAGTAAGAAATTTCCTTGCTCCTTTTATGGAGTACTTCACTAGGCTTAGCAGAATGACCCCACACAGACTTAACAGAGACCCTTGGGGAGCTGACTACAGTTTCACAAGCAACCCATCCACTACTTCCTTTTACTTCTGAGGTATGATTTTTCCCTCCTATCTGCCAGTTTCTGGAGGCCCAGGAAAGTGTTTCCTTTCCATATGTGTCTTAGTTCCTAGCAAGTGTCAGTCTTGGATAACACATTTTCCTAACTCTAACTCATACACAGTAGCTCTGTTTAATATATATGTGAATGTGAAGGTAAGTTTCCATTTTCTTTATAGGTGTTTCTCATTAATTGGTGAATACAGACCGTATTCTAATTTTACCATTATTTTAAATTCTTTTTAATGTTTCTTCCTGATATTAAAATGGTAAATAAATATTTGTCTTTTAGAAAAAAATATTTTATCATGCTATTTGCTATTTTTAAAATATTAAAATGATAGTATAGATATGTATATACATATATATTATTCTTGTCTTGCTGCATCCTATAGGATCCTATAGTTCAATAAAGAACTAGCCATTTCAGAAGGTAGAGGCATCCACTCACCTCCAGGCTTGAACTACTAGCTTTGTGACTTTGGACCTACCTTGAAATTGTAGTTTGTCATGGCTTTTTCCATTTCTGTCCATCAACAGTCTGGACAGTAAGTGAACTGGGCAATCCACGCATTATTACTAGGCAGTTTAGTGGTCTTATCCCATGTATGCTTTCTCTTTTGGCAAGCGAATAAAATGTAGTTTCAGATTTTCAGGGTTTATCCCAACCTTGTGTTTATGCAAGAGATCGTACTCAAAAGAAAATGTTTGAGCTAATTCAGTTTCTTTCCTCCTGTATCAAATCTGAAGCCAACTTCTAATGTGACCATGCTTTTCAGTCCCTTGTGGGAAGTTTTTCAAAGCTAGTCTGAAGGCATTGCACAGTAGCTGCTCAGAGGCTTACCAGCCCTCCGCCCACCTCTGCTGTTACTCTGAACATGACCTGTCATCTCAGCTCATTTCCTTACTCTTTCTTGAGTACTCAGAGTAGCTTCCCTTCAATTTCCAAGCTAGAAAACTTGTTCTCAGTGGGCTATGTCAAGAGTTGGTTTAGACAAAAGTATGTCATAGAAGAATTCTTGGGATATCATAAGCCAATGAGCTTTTCATTTATCTCATTTTTTCTTTAAAAAGCAGTTAAACAAAATCCCAAAATTGCCTAAAAGTGCAAGGATAAAAACAAACCTGAAGGAAGGAGAAGGGAGGAAACACTGTGGCCACCCAAAAATATTCTCTTAATATCCGACCTATGTTAACTTATGCAGCAACAGAGATTTCTTTCATATGTGCCTAAGGACGTCATGATAAGGAAATATTCCGGATAACAAACATTCTTATAATTGAGAAAGAGAGTCAGAAGATTTAGACTTAGTGTCAGAAATTTATGGATTCTGCTGGCTTTGAAGATGGTTAGGGGAACTCAAGGAAAGGAACGCAAGAGACCTCTAACTTTAAAAATTCTTAAGAGATTTCCCCTATAGTTACCAGAAAGAAATGCAGTCCTGCTAATATCTTCATTTTATCTCATTAAGATCTGTGCTACCCTTTAGATATTCAAAAATGTAAAATAATAAATTTGTATTTTTAAAGTTGCTGAGTTTATGATATTTGTTACAGCAACAATTTAGGATTTATTAGCAAGACAGATTACAGTGTGAACATTTTATTTGACAAACAGCATAAGAGCTAACTCCTGCACAACAATGTGCCTACATCGTGTCATAGTATATTTGTCTATATGAGTGTAGACATCGGTACATGTGCCAGAAATTATAATTTTAATAAATTTACTGCTTTGACATGCTTTTAGATGAGAATTACCTATCTTGATGTCATACTATTTCCTGGCCAGCAAAATACATAAAACATACAGGATATTTATATGCACTATGTAGCTTAGAGCTCTGTCACCGGTCTGTAAAGGTCTAAGCTAGATATGCTATTGAGTTCTGCAGGAAGTAGCCGTTGTAATTTGTTGCAATCCACATTTGGTTTGTGGATAAAATTCAGAAATAACTATGTAATTTTATGATGCAAAATTCACTTCTGTAGCTATAATGTGCTATAAATATGTCTGTTTTAAGTGAACCCAAGGCCCTCATTTATACTTTTCATTTCTTCCTTGTCTTGTCATTTCTCACTTTCTAAGCCTTTGATTAATAAAACATTATTAATATTTGTATTCTGTAATATGGAAGAACAGCTTTGTAAGGCTTTGGTGACTAATGCCCTGTGAAAGATATCAATACTGTAAAATAACTACAATATCACCATTGACAGCATACTACTGATGATATTAAGGCTGAATAGTTTACTTATTATTTATAGTTTGTTTTAGAAATAATTTCTTGTTGAGCTGTGGATTTAGCTCTGTGGCACCGCACCTGTCTTGCAAGCACAAGGTCTTGAATTTAATCTTCAGCATCAACAAAAAAAAAAAGGAAAGAAAAAAAAATAACTTTGTTGAAAAGACTCTTGTTCATTTTATCATTTATAAGAGTATAAAAAGAGAGCAAACAAGTTATTTCAAATATAGTTTTTTGTATATAGTTTTGTGTTGTGTGTGTGTGTGTGTATATATATATATATATATATATATAAACAAGAGTGGGATTATGCATGATATGTTCGATTTTTAAAAAAAATTATTAGTACACGTTTGATGTGCATAATGTTTATATTCATTTTAGGGAGTAGGTACATGTACTTAACATATATTAATTATTTTTCTTTCTTTCCCTGCCTTTCCCTCCCCCTCCCTATATCTCTAGATCTCCTATTTCCAAAATATCCCTGTTTCTTGTGTTGTATTTTTTATTTGTTTTATTTATGTAAATAATTCTAATTTGACTTTTCCCTTTCCTCAGCATGTCCTATGCATTTCTTCCTCTTCCGTGACTGCTCTGGGCAATGTTTCCAGGACTCTGTTAGCTAGGAATGGTTGCAGGTGAGAGGAGCAGAGAAAGGAAGGATGCTGGGCAGGGAGGGAAGACGATCTGAAGACAGGGAGGGTGTGTGAGTGGAGTTCTACTCCAGTCCACCTTCAGGTGCAGGCGTGGCTGGGGGAGGCTGCAGAACCTTTGGCCCCACGTTAAAGACTGCCTTGGTTATTTCACACAGAGGGAAATCAGTGAAACTTCTAGGGTGATACGTTCAGATTTGCATAATGAAAAAATGGCTTTTGTGTAGAAACTACAACAAAACTGGCTTCACCTCTAGGGCTGGAGAGACTCCCCCCCACCACACACACACACACTCACACACCCAGGAAATTCCTGCACGGCTTCAGTGACAAAGGTGGTAATACCTTGGAGTGGGTTGGGAGGAATGATTTTAGACATGGTCGTGATAGATTGATGGGTAAAGTAGACAACTGTGAGAAAGATTTGACATAAAAGTCAACCATGCTGGTAGCTGGCTGGGAGGGACAGCCCATCAGATTAGTCTTTGCTGTTAATGTTTCTACCAACATTCTGGTCAAGACCATGCAACTAATCTCTAGGAAGTTTCAGATTTTCTCTATCGTCTTTTCTTCTTTGGAACCTGCACTAGAATCTCCTTTAATGCTTTCTGGCAAGAGAGGCTCATTTAAGTTATACCTCCACATTTTTCTAGCATCTTCTATCTGTTTTTTCATTCCAGAGCTGCCTCCTCATTTGCAGAATTTTGGAGTAGCAACACTCTACTTTCGGGCCAATTTTTGTTTTTGTGTTCTTATAATAGAATACCACCAACTGAATAACTTATAATGAATAGAAATTTATTGGCTCTCAGTTTTGGAGGCCTGGAAATGTGTTGGCTTTCTTATTGCAGCATCCCATAGCAGAAGATGGAAGGCGAAGGGATCAAAGCAAATGGGGTCTTAAAGTTCTGATAGGTAATGTTGTTAATCACACCAAGGAGGGCGTAGCCCTCAGGGCCTGCTCACCTCTTAGAATCCTCACCTCTTACTGCCACAATTGCATAGTTGCATTTACATTTAAAAATGAGTTTTGGAAAAGACTGACATTGAAATGGTAGTAGTGTGTTAGTAGTGTGTGAAGATGCTTGCTGCACAGCTGCCTGTGGTGACAGTTAAAATTGGTGTGTATAAGTGATAGAAAATGATTGCAGCATCTTTTTTCTTTTCCATCCATCTCTATCTTCAGTTTAAAACTTAGTGCTCAAAGAAAAAAGGAATAACAGAATGAAATATGTAACCCAACATCATGTGTTAAGATATGTTTATGCACGCCAAGGAATGCTAGTTTGTTTTTTTTTGTTTGTTTGTTTTTTGGTCTTTGCACTCGCAAGGCAGGCCACCAAACCACTGAGCTAAATCCCTGGCCCATGAATGCTAGTTTTTTGAAGAGTAAACAAAAAATAAAGGACAAATGATAAACACACTAGAATAGTTGTCCATGAAGGAGGAAAGGGGAATAGGAGCAGGGAAGGAGGGTAACAGGCAGCCAGGAATTACATAAACAAGGGTTAGTGCTGACCAGAGCAGCAATGATACCATGGAATGTTGGGAAGGATCTGATTAACTCGTCTTTTCTCCTGCAGTTCCTGACCCACACGTGATATATAGCAGATGCTCTCTTTCATGGAGATAGAACATAAATCCCTTGTGGATGCCTCAAGTGGTGGATAAGTCTGAACTCCAGATATACTATTTTTTTGTATTATACATAACCATGATGACATTTAATTTATAAATTAGGTCCAGAAAATAATAACAATGATTAATAAAATAGAACACTTGTAACCTACTATAATAAAAAGTATGTGTGTATGATCACTCAAAACATTTTGTACTATAGTCCCCCAATTTCTTGTGATAATGTGAGATGATACTTAAAGGAAGATTTTTAGTAGCTTCTTGGCGTATCGATATCACTACAGTGTATCACTGCTATCACTGCTTTTGTCCTTTGGGGAATACTATTACGTAAAATAAGAGCTCTCTGAACGCAACACTGTGATATCACACAGCCGACCTGATCCCTGATGACTGACTACGTACACAGTGACAACCAGGTAGATAGTGCTTATGTGTTACCAAGCCGAATAAAG